TTTGGGCTTCCACGCCACTCGTGGTTGCTCCCGCGCTCCAGCCTGCTGGAACTGTGGATCAACTATGCACTCGGAAGCCGAGTGCAGGGCCCTCACAAAGTGTCGTAACAGTGGGGGACCCCACCGATCGGATTCTCGGGCCTGCCAAGTCAGACCCAGAAAGTCTGGACCGGTGACAAAAGAGCAGCTCGCGTGGATACGCCACCTCGAGCAAGGGAAGTTCGCGGAGGCGGCTCGAGCTAGGGCCGCAGCCAAAAAGGTCGAAGAGGCGATTGTCGCCGCGGCGAAGGATACCGCAATGGCCGAGGCAACAGGTTTCGGAGTGCTGGGACCTGAAGAAGAAGTTTGAGGACACAGCAACCTCGACGAAGTCCACTTCTGGGGCATCTACTAACAATTAGCAGGATACCGGCTGGATCAAAGGTGCCTGCAAACCCATTTCTTGCTCTCAGCGGAGATGGAGTAAATTTGTCATCTGGAAGGTATGACGGGCGAGGGAATGGGTGAGGAGCACATTGGCTGGGTCCAACATGGAGGAATCTTCTGGTTTTCAGAGTTTTGATTTTCGTGATTATTTTACTTCGTTTAATCAGCTGCAACTTTAGCAGCAATTCACGAGGTTGGAACGAGTTTAGGCTGTAGGAAAAGTTACAGGGAACCATGCTGGATCCACCAGTCCTTCACCCAATGTGGATAAAGAGCTGTAGCTTAGGTTCTATCATAATAATAATACTGCGCACATTACTACTTGAAATATCGTTATTTAGAGACTGGATCTTCTTGATGCTGCCATATTGACTACTTAAGCACCAGCTATTAGATCTACCATACTGCATAGCTGTGCATAACAATAATAAGAAGAGTCATCAGAACATCAAGAGACCCATTGCATACGGAAATACGCATATATTGCCAACCGACACTGAGGCTGAGAAACAGACCACTCAGTAGCTAAGTAATACGTGTAGTGGATCTGGGTCACTGGTAGCTGCAGAGTGCATATCTAATTTGACAGGGTTCCTCTTTTTATCTTTATAGAAAAACATTGATTCTTCGTGGTATTGTTCACGTACGATATCCATAATTCTCCTCGCCCTTGACAGCTGTAAACCTATCTACATATTACACAGGAGGAAATTTCTGAGTGGTAACCTCTCAAGCTTTCAGATTTTTTTCTCGCAGTATGTAATTTACCCTTCAGGGAACACAGTTACACTGTAGTGCCTTTTGTGTATATCAATCACGTCCCCTGTAACGATCCTAACCTTGAGCCAGTCCTACCTCGTTCCCTAATCAGCATTTCGACTGCATTTGTCATGTGGAGTTGATCTATCCAACCATGACTAAGAATCCATTGCGTAATTCTATTAGTGTCGCCAGGATTGTTTAACAATGCTTCATAGGATCGTTGTTGGCTTTTCTCCAGATCTCTGCTCTAACAATTCACCACCTAGGATAGAACATGATGATGAGATGCATATACTTGATAATACAAAATGATTAAAGGCTTCCCGTGGCGACCTTCGACCGGCTCTGCATGTACTCCACGCGTAGAGGACTCAATGCCTTTGTTAAGTCTTCATCAAACCACGTAATAAACTGGCTGGTTTAATTTTTGAACATCGTTTCAAGTTGTTTTTTGACAGGTATTTGTAGGAATTTGTTCCATTGTACTTGAATTTTTTCCTCAATAGTATCCTACACCATAGGTGGGTCGTTTGCTTTTGCGAAATCGCTCATCTGATTGTCAGATTGGATCGCGACTATCGAGATTTCCATTTACAGCGAAACGAAACAGCCGATTTATGAGATGATTTATCACGAGAAGATGAAGTGGCAGGAAGGCAGCTCTAATGTAGAGATGAAAGAAGTAGATTGGCTATGAGGAGGGAGTCTGTAAATGCGAACAGTGTTAAAATTATGGAGTACAGAGATAAGTCAGGTGATGGTTAATGGAAGTAATTGACGAAGGGTTTTTTTTATTATATTAAAGTCCTAAGCTAAGGCTCTAGGTCCACTATCGGTACAAGACTGGTGGAGCCGGCGGGGATCACTGCTTACAGGCCCAACTCATTCCAACCGCGTGACCCGCTACAGAAAAAGTAGCAGGTAAATTATAACTCAGAAACTGTAATCAAAAACTAAAATCAAAACTAAAAGCCAAAGACTGAAATCAAATTTACAAGATTTTTCATGTGGTCCGGATCCCGCGCTTCTCGCCCGTTCCCTTTCCTGCCACATCTTCCAAATGACAAATTTACTCAATCTCCGCTGAGAGCAAGAGATGAGATAGCAGGCACTTTTTATCCAGCCGGTATCCTGCTATTGGTTAGTATATGCCCCAAAAGGGACATCGTCGAGGTTGCTGTGTCCTCAAACTTCTTCTTCAAATTCCAGAACTCCGAAACCTGTAGCCTCGGCCATCGAGACGTCCTTTGCAGCGGCGGTGATTGCCTCTTCGGCCTTCTTTGCTGTTGCTCGTGCTCGTGCCACCTTCGCGAACTCCCCTTGTTCGATGTGGCGGATCCACGCGAGCTGCTCTTTGGTCACCGGTCCAGACTTTCTGGGTCTGACTTTGCAGTCCCGAGAATCCGATCGGTGGGGTCCCCCACAGTTGCGACACTTTGTGAGGGCCCTGCACTCGGCTTCCGAGTGCATAGTTGATCCACAGTTCCAGCAGGCTGGAGCGCGGGAGCAACCACGGGTGGCGTGGAAGCCCAAACAGCGTTTGCACTGTTCAATTTGGCGACGAGGCTGGATCTTTCTAGCCGCTCCGGACTCTTCGAGTATTCGGAAGCCCGCACGAGGGGCGGAGTCCCGGTTGAAAAGGGCATACCAGTTTCTGTATGGCGCTCCAGGACGACATGTCCCGTGCGGTCGCACCTGGCATGGTCGTCGTTGTGTTTTGCGGTAAATCTCCAGTGAGATCCTACCGGCATCGACCGTCTCAATACGGTTGATTAATTTTATAGTCGCTAGAACATTCGCGATCCGAAAGGCGACAAGGTTGGAGGCTTCCTCGATTTTGGCATTGAAGTCCGACAACTTCGGTGAGGCATCTAAGAGCTCTTCCCTTTCATTTTCATCCGCTGTCAGAATCGCAAATCCGGTTCTGACACGGTGTATAGAGCTTTTTTCACTCAAGGTGTACAGTAGACTACTACATAATTGATGCCTTATGCCGTCAGGCGAAAGCTGGCGCCATGGGTGATCGCTCTCTAAGCGAAGGAACAGTCGTTTGCCGACTTTCGCCTTGAAGGTTTCTTTTTGTTGGTATTTTGCCGCAGGTTGCGGCACAGCCCTTACAGTTGGGACTGCTTTCTGTCGCAGTCCGTTTCTGGCCACCGTGGCCCAGGTGCTTTTCATAGGCAGAGCTGGGACGGCGGGAATAGGTGTGCTCCTGACGTCGGGAGCCCTCGGGATTGGGTTCGCAGGGCGAGGAGGGAGGACGGGTGGCGTGATGGCCAGGCCCGTGGCCATGTATTGCGCAATGGCGGCGCGTAAGTAGACTCTCATCGAGTCTAAAATTGTCTGTTTGACCCGTTGGTCAAAGGAAGAAGGGTGGCTTCGACGCCAGAGATGGCGGCGGAGCAGAGGGCCAGATTTGCCGCTGTTTCGGCGGCACGTCGTTGCTCGGCTTTGATAATGGGTCGAAGTTCCGGAGGGCAATCTGCTTTCGTAGCAGCTTTGGGCTGCGACGTTGATTTTGACGCTGCTTTGGGTGCAGCGTTCTCCGACAGTTTTGGCGCGGTCGGGGTAGTTTTTGACGATTCTCCAATCTCGTGGGGGACGGAGGGTGGTTGAGGAATTTCCTCAACAGTTTCAACTGACCCGATCATGTCAGTATCGGGCTCAGTGACGGTGGGGTGGGCTTTTTCCTTCCCTTTGATTGAGACCTTGCTCATCTCCGCGCATTTCGGAGACTGGGCAAGGCCAGGTAATTGTTGGAGAGCCCTCGGGTGGACTCTCGTGTTGTCCAACTTGACGTTGGGGCGCTTTTTGCGAACTGGAGGCATGGTGAAAATGCCTGAGCTCGATCACAATTCAGAGATAGATGCGACGAGGTCGAGAAGGGAGGAAAGAGGGAAAAAATGAATTTTCGAATTTCTCGAATTGACGAAGGGTTTGGTTGATGAATTTTCTATTATTTCTGTGTTGGGATACACTTTGTCGATCCAATTAGGCTCGATAATTAGTAGTCCCGACCGACTGGTGTTTGGCGAACGGAGATTGCGTATACCCTGTGCTAGCGTTGTTTACTGCTGTTAATAGGAGATCCCGCACGGGCTATCTATTGGGATTAAAAAGAGTCTGGTACCTGTGTTTAGTAGAGTAGTCGAATTGACATCTTTTTATCCTTCATTATTGCATAAGCTTCCCTTTACCAATAAAGTCCACGAACTAAGTAGTGGGATATACATTTCAATAAACAGGGACTATATGCTAACATGCACGTACCACATGTACTCACGCTACTGTACCCAGGGCCAGGTTGAGGCGAGGCCGTAACTTGGTATGTTGAAGATGGAAATTAATCTTTGTTGTCGGTTTATTGTCAGTAGCCCATTATGTGACGGAGCTACATCGTGTGACATACTACCATTTGGCCTTCCCCGTGGCCTCGAAGACAACAGACAATTAGGGTCAATTATGACATACTGCTAGCAGTTACTCAGTGAATACGCCTACCTTCATTTTTAGCCGTTTACTGAAGTATTTTGAAGGGTAAACTTGAAGTTAACAAGAGGTCATCATCTGGCTGTGTGCCGTACCATAAACTAAGATTCTCTAGACCTGACATAATAAGTATCAGAGTTTTATTTTTATCACCAAAAACCTGCATGAAGAAAAATAAATAATATTTCAATATGAAATGACTTAAAAGTTTGCATTTTGAATGAGAGCCGAAATCTATTAACTTGTACTATATTCTTGAAAGTCTTAATGAAGCGAAGTCTGGACAATTCCTCTGAAGTCTGATGGATTTCGTGAGTTCTGTGTTAGTGCTTGGCGGTGACTTTTTCACCAGTGAGCTTTTCCACGTATGTCTTGGCTCTGCCAAGGTATCAGTAACATATTTTGCAAAAGTTAAAGGGGTATCTTACATGTCACCCATGGCAACCATACATATGGTCTGCCATACACCTAGCCCAATACGTGGTGCTACACCACGGTACAGACCTTTGAGGCCGTTGTTGCTGTATATATACTGAGCAGTGTTTGCCACGGTCATTTTTTTGGGTCGGTTCGGATCCTCCTTTTTGCTTTGCATTTCGACGCGAATGACCTCGATGGGCTGGTTCCAAGCGCTTAGACCACCGCCGAGAGTGCTAGCAAGGATTTTTTCCCATACACTTAAGCTACCGCCATTTTCTTTACCTGTTGCTTTTCGTATCCCCTGCTCTGCCAGTCGACTCAGTCCAAATCTGGAACCCCAATTTGTCATCTGTCGAATTGCCACGGCATTAACACCTTTGTTAATACCTTTGATACCATCTTTTCGGTAAATGTCGGCAAATGTAGAAAAAGTGCCCGGAGGTTTGACACCAGTTGCGGCGAGCTTAGACTTGGTGATCTCCACCGTTTTCATGCATGTACAGAACCCCATAGTAGCGTAAGCCTGAGCTACTCCACCCACAACACCACCGGCGATTCCGGCGGTAAAGTCACGGGCACCGAAGGTGCGTGCAAAATATTCTGCCTCAGATGCAACAAATAGCAACACTGCACCCTTGGTGGACGCTTCGATCCAGGCCCATGGGATAAGACCTTGGTAGACTAGTAAATAGGATAACTCGTTAGTCTTACACGTTAAAACAGGGTTTGGATTGCCTTACAGCCTAGGACACCGCCTCTACTCCAAACTTTACCGAGGGAACAACTAAAAGTATCACCCCGGTTGGCAGCCATGGTCGTTTTGACGACCTCCAAAGGTTGACCCAATGTCGTAACTTCGAACCTATCATTTGACTAAATAAGCAGTATTCGAGTGATATCTGAGATGGAAGCCAACGCACAAGTTAAGACTTGCCCCCAATATTAAATTGCTAAACTTGATAGGCTTCCGCTCGAGCACGGGGGAACTATTGGGGATGGCGGCCATGTTCGTTGTAGGCACGTATGTAAGGGGCCCTGACCAAGGGAAAAAGTTGCTTCGTCGCGAGAAGGAATTGAATTAGAAGATGGTGTGAGAGCTGTCGGGGAGTACGAGGACGATAGAAATAGCAAGCTCACAAGAAGCTCGACAGGCACTCTCGCTTAAACCTTCTCTGCAGCTGATTGGGAAGATAAAGAGTTGGGACATAGGGTGGAGGCATATTTTATCCCTGCTTTTACTCGTAATTTGGGCGTTCCTTTTTTTGTCTTTTGCATTATGGGTAATTAGCAGCAGGGTAAAGCCGCCTTGTTAAGTGGAGATATTCGACTCACCAGCTTGTGAAGGGTTCGAGACCAAGTTTAACCGTGCAGGACAGGGAGACGGTTTGTTCGCGAAAGGGCTAACCTTTTAGAGCAATACAATGTGACGACGAAGAGCTTATGGGGGACCAACTATTTATGTAATTTTATTGTTGAGACGGAACCGCTTGATTTGGTGGCATCACTTCTAATTCGATTTGCATCTCGTACAGTTATATTGAAAAGATCGAAAGGGGAAAACGGAATCAGAGGGATGAAATTGATGAGACCCTTACACTTGGGCGGCCGAGCGTCTTCGGCGAAATGTGAATGAAGTGATCACTTAGGAGTTTCTGCAGCAAACGAAGAACTTCATGTGAGATTGTAAAAGTGTAGAACAAAGTGCGATAGCGTAGGACACTGGAGAACTCAGCTCTACAAGAAATTTCCGTCTTGACCAACGGATGGATTCGTCCGTGTACTTGTCCGTCGTGCTGTTAAAAGGTCTGACGCAAAACTTTAGAATGGCAAGTAGCATACAAATGAATGCAGAGTCAGCCACTCAACGCCATCAGAATCCAGCTCGAGTGCTAGTTGTTCAGGGCCAAAGATCAATGTAAAAGGTACTGGGTAGAGGTCAAATGTGTTGAGCCTAGTGCGTACGTGAGAGCGCTAATCGCTAGCATGGGTAGGGTGGATACTACTGAGATTGCTAGAAACGTAACAATATGTCTTACTGTATTAATTATTAGTACTTTAACTGACACCCGTCACGAACACTCAAAAGTCGAATTGGCTTATTTTCGGCAATTATTCTCGGCTTAGTCTTCTCTCATCCGATCAGTACCATCGACTTGCTCAATTGCCCATCTTGGGAGAGGTTATGAAGGACGAGATACGCTCTTACATACCCACAAGCCTTCAACATGCGATCTCCTAGCCTCCTTAGATATCTCAAAAACGGACTATACGTCTTGATATTGTCTTGCTCATTAGGGCAACAAGAATACATAAACTCAGCCGAGTATTTTTGTAATTTTCTGTTACGATTTTGAGCTCACGGCAGTCAGTAGTCTGAAGCTCCTGTTAGCGTCATGCGCAGGAAGTGATAACCTTGTGGTCAAACTGTTGTGTATTGCAGACTATAATGATCTGATGAGGAGAAGAATTTTCATATGTACAAGATTAAGGCGTCTGTGCACTGAAAATTACCCAACACAGCTGCCCCTCTAATCCTATGTAATCCACATAGACCACACATTACAACACTTTCTCCAAGCAAAATTGATTGATATTTATATTTTCCTTTCAAGTCCAAGGCCAAATCAGGAAATGTAGGTCCTTTCTGCTTACAGTCCGCGAGTATCTTTGCCTCGGGTATCATCCTCTCGCATGCCTCAGTTACCGTCTCTCAACAGCAGCAATACCCCTACAAGCCTTCATTCGAGTCTACACTTTTTTTTCCAAATCATTTAATTTTTATTCAGCCATCTAGCCATGACACATGACTAGTACTATGTATGCCTGTTGGATGACTCTTTGACGTTAGAGACACTCATACTCTAGATTTTATTTGCAAATACCACTATAAGGTATGCTTGCTTACACAAACAGTCAACCCTCCTCCGTTAGTACCCACCAAAGGGAATTTCAAAACCTTTGGTTATCCAAGCATGCCTTCGTCATCCATGCATACCAGCACCGCGAGAAAAGTGGTTGTGTTTTGCTGGATTTGAACCAGCGATCTACTGTCTCAAGTGGGATATGTGTTCAAGCTATCCAGACTCTACTTGGAAGACCAGCTATGACGATATACCACCGCACCATCCAACCATGGCAATGTTTAAAGTGTCGCTTGCACTCTCGCAATTGAGATCTTGATTCGCCCAAAGATCGATCTGCGATACCACCTGCCAGAACTCAAAACCTCAACTCTTCCAAGATTGTATCTACCGTTAGCATAATATTGTTTGCTCGTCCACATCTCTCCTATACTAATCCCAAAATATCTGCCTCTCAGATTTGTGCACCACAATCTGTGTCCTCCGACGGGTGTAAATATAGTCGTGGGTGTATATTTGGAGGCCAATTAAGTGCAGAGACAGATTTGACGAGAAGTATGGTCCTATAAACGAGGATATACCAGGTCGTTCTTGCAGACTTGATGAGGCTTTGGCTGGAATGTACTCTGTTGGGAGTGAGATGTTGACACGGTGGAGTATTTTAAATCATTGCCTCGTGGACCAATTTTTTGGTATTGCGAAATTTGGCTGAACTCAGGTCTGGGAGACTTTTTCACCCCCAGGCTCATAGAGGACACCTCGAACAGGATTTCAGTTTTTGCCCTCTGGGTATACACGTACAGGAGTCCTTATCCTGTAATCATTTTTCCTTTCCAACTATCGAAACAAAGATTATTCATTCATTTTAAACAACTAGGAAGAATTACAAAAACCATTGGGCCTAATGCTTCTCCAGCACCAATATCAAGACTCAGCCCGAAAACTGACCGCCATTCAAAGATGTGTGAGGAAGCCAGACAGCCTCATGCTGCAGGCTTATGTGCATCTTGGGGAAACACTTTCTACCCGTCTAGCCTCTGTTCAATGCTATCCATATTTTGCGTTTCAGTACACATCGGAGGTTGCGTAAGAGTTTAAGGAGAGCCCATGCAAAGAGCACATACTTTAAATTAGTCCAGCTCAACTTTCTTGTGCCATAATCGGTAACGTAGAATACCGTAGAGCCATTGGCAATAGAACCTCGTCTAGCTAGTACGTGGTTGAATCTCGAATCTACAGGCGCTTAGATGGGTGTAGAAGCTTTGCAGAAGACACTGCTAACAGTCAGTGAGTCTTCGTCTGCCTAAAATGTTGGATTGCATGTCAGATAGCAACGAATTAAGTTCAGTTTGTAACTTCTTCCAAAGTATATTTATTCGACATAATGGACTGCCTAATCACATAACTTGAGTCGCAAGACGTTATATCTACATTATGAGTGGTTATTTTTCTATGAAATATGAATCTATATGTAAATAACGGCTCTTGTTAAATGACAAGGTGTGTCTGGTTGGTATAAGAGCTAGCCGAGATAGTCATGGTCAAACTTGGAAGTCGCGTCATTGACGCTGCTCATGCAGATCAGTCGCATTGAGAAAGTTTGTTCAAAGTATTTTTAGTCCATCTCACTATCCTAAATTCAACACTAACGCTTCTCGTTCTATTTGACCCCCTTCCACTGTGCTAATTCTCTTGTCTTCTCTTCAGTCATATAGCTATAGAAGGCCTCCCAATTTAATAGCTCGTATTATTTCCATTCACAAACTTTTAGGCATGGAATCACCCTTCAAACCCTCCGAGAAGACTGATAAGAGTAGACTCCGACTCACGATTATGTGTCAAACAGCATGATCTGAGCTTGACGTGCGTCACTCGCACTGTGAGGTGAAATATTCTAAATACCTGTCAATGGTGCACCCTACGAACCTCTAGCTCCCACTATAAAGTCTACAGAGCCGAGATTGAGTAATAAAGTCTTCACTTCTATGAGGATTCCCAATCGCTTTCGCAGTCTATATCGTCTTCATCTCTCAACACAACCTCCCTATCACCATTATCATGAAGCTAACCACGATCAGATCAGATGATAGGGTCGGAGCCCTACCAATCATCAATCCTTGATCATGGAGGAAACGCTATCCGATGAGTTTCCGGAGCGTACCCAGCACCCGATACGGAGATGGTGGATTGGATAAAGTCGACCTCGACTGTTACAAAGAAGGGAGATATAGATGAACATGCGCATCTCATGTGGTCCCGGTGTCTAGGCCTTGCCTGGCTGGGGCTGCAGGTTTTTTGGGACTTTTTCCCGCGCACGAAGTTTCCATTGCTACCATTTTTTTATTTTTTGAAAGGTAGGAGGCTCCGTGGAAAAGCTGGCAGAATCCCAAGGATAGATCATGAGCTGGTGGCTATCTGTGATGGGAATCATATCAGAGATCATTTTTCGTAGCAAAAGAGGGTAGGAGCACTGTACAGTGTGTGGCATTATCCAGAGAGGAGCCCAATTTGCTAGATAATCTCTAAATTTGTGTGTACTAATTTAGTAAACAACTGCGACATACTATTGTGAGCTTCATCCAACATCAAGCCTCACGTGATGTTAGCCAAGCCTAGTTAGGTTAGATAGAATTAGCCCGTGCAAATGAGGGTATCTCATTGTTGCGGGCTGAACAAAGGGAGAATAAGAAATCACGATTTAACCACCACGTTGCAACCTAGTACTTTTGATTTATACGATACTTTGCCGTATTAACACATACAAACGGTTCATTTTAGAAGAATCGTAAATTATTCATCGTGCATCTCAATCCAACTTGAGGAGTCCCCCCCGACTGTCACACATAGGCGGCCTTGGCGAGCGCGTCGGCTGCTCCGTTTCCAAGAATACGTGAGTGGCCCTAGAACTATGTGAAAGCCATTTATTCAAGCGTTGTTGGAAAATCGGTATGGGTTCGATGAATAAGGCGGCCGAAAGAATATGGGCGCGATTTATGAAAAGAATAATAATGATATGAATCGGGAGAATATGTGAAATTCAGTTGAGAAATAAAAAATGGATTGAATAAATTAATTTGATTGTCTATCTTGGTGATTCCTAGACAGCTTATATACATGTATACTTAATAGACCAAATCCAAATCAG